GAAGCCTGAGCTTAACGATATTAAGTTTTACCGTTTACTTTTATTCTTTACACTTTACAAGAGTTGTGTTCGAGAGATTCGCAGTTTTGGTGCGGTCGCATCCTTAGGAACCATCTACCTGAGGGAGCCCCCGTTACAGTATATCGTTAAGCGAGCTTCTCGCTTAACTCTCCTCCTGATTTTTGGTTGGAACCGACGTTGACAAGACCACGATGGCTACTCAAGCTTTGCCACCCACGGTCGAAGAAGAAACGTCGAGTTCGGACAGCAGCTTGGATCTCAATAAGAATCCCTTAGAAGCTGCTATTTTTAGGGCTTCTATCATCGCAGACACACGAGGACTCGGGGAGGCAGCTAACCTGCTGATCGAGGCTGCTCCCATCGAACTCCCCAATGAGTGTCGAGATCTGGTCCTACCGGACCCCGGTATCGCCGCACTGTCGTTCACCAACGACATCCCCTTCGCACAAGGTGTCCTTAAGGACAACCCCGAAGCCGAAGGATTGACCATCGCGCAATTTACGCGCGATTTTGTCGAGCCCTATATCCTACGGGAAGTGATGCAGGAGATCACAAGGGCAAAGGGGGAACTACATAATTGGAACAAGAGGACACAGAAGGTGTTCCGGAAACAGATCATAGATTCGTCGGTTGGATGGATGAAGAGGCAACAAGAGGCATTTTTGGTTCTCTTAAGGAACCAAGAGACAATGAGGATACGGATGGCAGCGTTGGAGAAGGCAGCGGCAGAAGGGTATAAGATAGATGAGGACAATGATGTCCTGATGATTGAGGCTGTTCCCGCGGTGAAACTGATCAAGCAGAGACCTGAGAATTTTACTCAGCAGCTAACTCTCTATGCGAGAAACGAGAGGTATCGACCTCAGTTGAGCTCATTAGGCCTACGAATTGTGGAGAGCCTAAAGGATCCAGGATCCGAAGCGGCAAATTCGTTCGCTCGCGCCTCCTCTCGTTCACTTTCGGCTTCGATAGCTCGAAGCCATTCAGTCAGTCCTATCGGGACTTCTCGCCCGCAAGTACTACGAAGAGTTTCGCCACAGCCATCAAGACCTATACGAGAACCCTCTCCTTCGATTTCAGTGACGCCGGTGCTGTCACCTGCTACTCAATCGCTCCATCCTCCTCTACCCTCTATGTTTGACCTCAAGCCGGCTCACCTTCCTTCAGAGTTTTTTGAGCATAATCCCACTCCTGCAGCTACGCCTGCACCAGTACCAATCGACGCTCCCTGGCCAGCCATGAGACAAGGGTCTCCGAGGCTCGCTGAGCAAATTGAAAGGACATTGAACATACTGGAAAGGACCTCGAATAGACCCTCTCGTCCCACTACCGCCTCGCAAGGCACCCCCGTCCCTGTCGCGGCTACCCCTAGCCAACCCCGCCGGCCACCGATCCAAGTGCCAACGGCACCGGTTAAACCTTCGGGAAATGCTGGCTTTTCGGGTTTCGGACCCCCGCCGGTCACACGAGGACCTTATTGTACCCCCTCCTGTCGCGGATACGGGGCAAGACATGACAGATTTTGTCAACTCCCTCCAGTCGAGGTACCAGAAAGTCCTCCGGCGGCAGTCAGACAAGACAAGGGAAAGGGACGAGAAAGACGAGAACCTAGGTGTGGATATTGCATGTACAAAGGTCATGAAGGACCACCAACACACCCGGAGACCTGTCCGGCGTTGGCCGAATGGTTAAAGGTGTCGCAGGCTGCGCCAAACCCGATACCCTCGGGGAGTAACCAGCAGGCAGGCTCAGTGCCGCCACAAGTACCGTCGGGAGGTGGTCCTCCGGATGACGGGAATCGTGGTGGTCACGGCGAGCATTTTGATGGTTATGAGAGACCAAGGGAGACCTCTGGCGGAAACGCTGGGGGTGGCGGAGGTGGTAACCTGCCTCCTGGTGGAGGATTCTTTGGGGCTGGCGGAGGGGATCCGGGTGATTCCGACCCTAATGACAGCTCTGATGATGATGCCGATTCCCTACCTGATCTCACACCCTTTTTGGGACCACGTCGTGCTGGTTGGAATGACGAGAAGAAAGACCGATATGACCGTCGGGCAGATGCACTACGAGAGCGGTTGCAAAACCAACCTCGTTCCTCGGCACAGTCAAGCCGCAGGAAGCCAGAGAAGCTAAGCGGCATTCCCACCTTCAAGGGAGTGGTTGCCGATCTGGCTAGCTTTCTGACCTTGGTTGAAGTCAAGTTCGAGTACTTTTCCGATTGCTGTCTGACGGACATGGATAAGATCAACTTGGTCATACCTCTTCTCGAAGACCAAGCCCGCAACTGGTACCTTGGGATACATGCTCACATTAACCGCGAAGCGGCAAGACGAGCGGGTATGCCGTTCAACAAGAATGGTCCGCTACGGACTTGGAAAGGTTTCCGTGAACGGTTGGAGCAGAGTCACGGAGGTGACAACGTGAATCGGGATAAGAATCTTCTCGCGTGGAATAGCTTGGTGATGACCCCACACCAGAGCGCTCCCTACCTGGATAAGATTATCGATCTGATGTACAAGCTGAACTACACAGACCACCAACAGGTTAAGGATAAAGTGAGGGCTGGAATATCGTCTGAGCTTCGGAAATCGTGGGCGTTGATGACACCACACCCCGAAACCCTCGATGACTACCTAGACTTGCTTCGGAAAGTTGGTCATAACCGCGAAGATGACAAGCGCTTTGGACATCTTAACGAGGATAAACCCACGAAGCCACGAGAAAGACGAGAGAAGGAGACTTCTAAACCTTCGGGAAGGTTTAAGAAGAAAGAGAAAGGTTCGGGTTGGAAGGACAACAAAACGCGGAAGACCGCTAATGTTGGCGCCGGTAAGCAGGCAGGGACGTCTGAGTATGCTATTGCTCATCGAGACATCCCTCAGACCCTGACTGAGAAACGACGCAACAATAAGCAATGCACTAAGTGTGGGAGAGAAGGACACTTCTGGAGACAGTGTTCGGTTACCTCCCGTGTCGTACATGCTGTGAGGAATACCGCGGGAGTGAAACGGTCACGACCAAAAGCGGAATCCTCTACTAGTGGCAACAAGCGACTTAAACGTATTGAAGCGTCTCGACCGCCGCCATCTGGCCCCAAACTTTTGGAAGCCCGCAAACCCTCACCTACTATTATGGAGGTTGACACGGGTGATGAACTAGGTAAGAACCTAATCCTCTGACGAAATGACTTTGACTAACTTTCTAGATCTATGAAGATCTTAAGGAAGTAAATGGTCACTCAAGAAGGACGGATTTAAGGTAAGAACCTATCCGCGATGACTAGCTCTTCAGTATTAACGAGGTCTTTGACATAGGAATGTCGGAAGACTACTTCGTTAGGTAGATGTTGTGGTCACGCGCGGTGATAGGTTTTGTCTTTTCGTTCTTGGGATTTAGTTATTTCATAAGGGTATTTTATGTTAAATTCATGTTGGACAACTTCGGGGAAATTTCTTTCAGGTTTTTCTTTGATTTGAGCATTCTGCTCTGAGGAGTCGCTCTGGAAAATGGGAACCGCGCGACATTAGGATGGGGCACAAAGATGCCCTGTTTGGCACCGGTTGACTGGACGTCTCCGGAGAGCAAATGCAGATTTTCTTGTCTTATATGGGTCGTTTGTCTTGTACTTTGGAATTGGTCTTGGGTTATTAGTCTTGAATAAAAGTTATCTTTCAAGTTTACCTGAGGAGGGTTTAGTACCCGAAATCATGCTGGCGTGATAGTAAACAGCACTCCAATTCCGTTCATCGATTTAGACTATTCTTGAAAACGTTTACCGACCCGTTGTGGCCACTCTTGTGTCGAAAGGCAAGAGACTATCAAGAATGAGTACAACGAGACAAAGTAAAAGAGCGAGGCGCTCTAGTCCACCCAAGCATAGCAAGTCTATTCACTTACGAGTGACATTAGACTGGCGCATAGGGTGTAGACAAGTGAGTGCCGAAGCGCTATTGTTGTTAGACAGTGGAGCTACGGGACCCGTGCTAAGTAGCAAATGGGTCAAAAACACACAAGCTCCTTGTGTGCGACGAAGGATTCATACTCCAATAAAAGATGCAAGCGGTAACCACATACCCGGATCAGGCCTACATTATACCAAGTCATTGGATTTAAAGATAGGCGATCATGTGAACGGTATGCGTTTTGAGGTAGCAGAGCTAGCCGACACTCGTGTCGACGGCTACTTGCCAATGTCGTGGTTGAAGGACCACAACCCAGACATCGATTGGAAAGTAGGATCACTGACCTGGCGCTCAGATTTTTGTAAGGCACATTGCCTGACAAAGGAGAGGCGGTTAGTTTATATGACCGATGATGAACTGTTGGCCGAAGATCCCGAAAATGTATACTTTTTAGGGACAGTGCAGTTCTCAGATGACCAAGGTGAAGATGTCACAGTCCGACTTCTACCAGAGTACAAGGACTATGGGGACATCTTTAGTCAAGAAAGGATAGATGAATTACCGGAACATACGAAGTATGATCATAGAATTGATCTAATTCCGGGAAGTACTCCTCCTTTTGGACCGATCTATCCGATATCGGTGAAGGAACGGACAGCGCTCCGTGAATTCATAAGTGAAATGTTACGTACTGGGAAGATAGAAAGATCTACTTCCTCGTCCTCGGCGCCTATACTTTTTGTGCCAAAACCAGATGGTACACTAAGATTAGTAATAGACTACCGAGGACTAAACAAGATCACGGTGAAGAATAGATATCCTCTCCCGTTGAGGACTGAATTGCGAGGCAGGCTCTCAAAAGCTACGGTATATAGCTTGATGGACCTGAAGAATGGGTATTGGGGAATCCGAATGGCCGAAAAGGCTAAGGGTGATACTCACTCGCATAAGGAACTCACAGCTTTCCGCAGTGAAGAGGGACTACACCAATTTTTGGTGATGCCCTTTGGGTTATGTAACGCCCCTGCCACGTTCCAGAGTATGATAAATGACATATTTCGAGATATGCTGGGTGAAGGAGTCGTCGCCTACATGGACGATATCCTGATTTACTCAGAGACTATAGAGGAACATGTCTCTCTGGTTAGGCGAGTAATAGAAAGGTTAAGGAAGCATCGACTATGTGTTAACATAAAGAAGTCATTCTTCCATAAAAGCGAAGTTGAGTTCCTAGGTTATAGGATATCCGAAAAAGGGATATCTATGACAACGAAGAAGGTGGATACCATCTTGGATTGGAAACCACCAACTAGCGTCGTCGGAGTCCAAAGTTTTATGGGCTTCGCCAACTTCTATAAAAGGTTCATAGAAGGGTTTAGCAAGATAGCGAAACCTTTGACGGACCTCACTAAGAAGGATGTCCGATTTGATTGGACCCCTGCTTGTGACAAGGCTTTCAATGATTTGAAGACAGCCTTTACCTCGGGGCCAATTTTAGCACACTTCGATCCTGTCCACCAGACTAAGTTGGAGACGGATGCGAGTGACTTTGCATTAGGTGCCGTACTCTCTCAGTTCTGCGAGGATGAGAAGTGGCACCCGGTGGCCTTTCATAGTAGGAAGTTCCACCCAGCGGAGATCAATTATGATGTACATGACAAAGAAATGACTGCCATAGTGGCAGCGTTCAAGGAATGGGAACATCTGTTTAGGTCAGTAGAGGGTGAGATCGCTGTTTATACCGATCACAAGAATTTGGAGTACTTTAATAGTACGAAGACCCTCAACCGCCGTCAACATCGCTGGGCAGAATTCCTGCAGCCCTTCAATTTCAAGGTTGTTTACCGTGAAGGAAGGCTGAATACAAAGGCCGATGCACTGTCGAGGCGTGGAGACCACCGCCCTGAAGGGGGGAGTAATTCTCTGTCAGACACACCAAAGCCGTTTTTTCGCCCCGGACAATGGGTTATTGGGCAAGAGCGAGACCTCTTACGTCCTCATTCGTTGGCTGCCTGTCAGGGCTACCGGTTGCAAAATGTATTCTTGGATGCATTACGCACTGCTGCGAAACAGGATCCCGTCTATATGAGGGACTTAAAGGCTGTGTTGGCGGGAGACAAGGGTGTCGACCGCAATCTGACGATAGAAAGAGATGCTTTCCTGTCAAAGGACCTTGTTGTAAGAAGAGACCTACTCTTATACAAGAATAGGTGGTACGTTCCCAACTCAAAAGATCTGAAGGATAAGATCATGGCAGCCGAACATGACTCCCGTATCGCGGGACACTGTGGGACATACAAGACGGTAGGCAGGGTTAGAGCTAACTTCTTCTGGCCTAAGATGGATGAGAGCATTACGGAATATGTCCGTACATGTGATGCCTGTCAACGGAACAAATCCGTTAAGCATAAGAAGTTTGGCTTGCTGGAACCTGTTGGTGTACCCTTGAGACCCTGGACGGATATCTCAATGGACTTCATAGTAGCACTACCGGAATCAGAGGGGTATACCAAAATTTGGGTAATCGTGGATAGATTCTCAAAGATGGCACATTTCATACCTCTGGCCACAGAAATCCCTATAAAGGATATGGCCCTGATATTCCTAAAGGAAGTTTGGCGGCTCCATGGGCTCCCAGAATCTATTATCTCCGACCGCGACAGTCGATTCACATCCAAGTTCTGGATGAGCCTGATGCAACAATTGCAACTGAAACTACGGTTATCTACCGCTTTCCACCCTGAGACTGATGGGCAGACTGAGCGGGTGAACCAGACCTTGGAACAATACTTAAGAAATTATTGTTCGTATCAACAGGATGATTGGTCATCGCTACTACCTTTAACGGAGTATGCGTACAATACATCCACCTCCGAGTCTACCAAGTTGTCTCCGTTTGAGATCAACTATGGCTTTAACCCACGGACCAACTGGTCAGGTGCAGTCTCGGAGCAACAAGGTGTTCATCCCAGTAGCGAGCTATTGGTAAAGAATTGGGAGGGTGTCTGGCAAGAAGTCAGAGAGACACTTAAGCGAGCTCAAGAGAGACAACGGAAATGGCACGACCAAAAAAGGTTACCGTCTCCGGAATACGTTACGATGGAAGATGTGACAAATGGCAGGGCAAGGAAAGCCGATCGTGTGATGTTAAATCGAAAGAATATTCGCACCAAGCGACCTATGGAGAAGCTAGACCACCGAATGTTTGGACCCTTTGTGGTCAAGCGTAAGGTTGGTAACCGAGCTTATGAACTCCAATTGCCTGCCCGCTGGTCAATACAACCCGTATTCAACGTCGGACTCTTAGAACCCTATCGTGAGGACCCAAGTGGTAGACGGACTAAAGAAGTCCCAGTCCCCGAGATAGTAGATAATGAGCCCAGCTATGTCATCGAGGCAGTTGTAGACAGTCGATGGTACGGTAATATGAAAGCGAAGTTTCCAAATCGCTTTGTACAGTACCTAGTTTCATGGGAAGGCTATGGCGCAGAGGAGAACTCGTGGGAGCCATATGAGATGCTAGAGGACACCGGCTTACAAGCCATGAAGGATTTCCATCATCGGTATCCCCACAAACCCAGGGACCACAGGGTGGAGGGCGAACCGAATCGAGGGAATAAAAGACGACGTTAGCGGACCGGGTCGGTCCTTAGAGAAGAGGGGAGTGA